ATCCTTGATTACAGTGATTACAATCAATGTTACAACGACATTCGTCTCTGTTGTTCTTTTCCTGACATTCAGTCTCAGTGAGAAATCCTGTGTGCCATTCAGTTCAGCTCCATGCTCCCATGTTAAGAGGGCGTGGAGGCGTGTCGACAACGCCAGAATGTCCCTCACAGTATTCCATAGGTATCAGAGACCATCACAGTTGAATGAGCGCGTGAATTGAAATGTGACTAGGAAAATAAATACATTTAGGTTTTGACGAAATCACTGATGCCGCCGGTAAAAAGATAACATTAATTGACAGTTGCAGTCATCATTTTCCTGACAGATATAAAGCAGTCACGCGAGATTGCGCGAGAATTCGTAACATTTTCCTTACTACTGATAACAGGGGATCCTGTTCGTCGTATATTAGCGTTTGTGTATGTGTGTCACCTTGGCGTAATGGAGTGCTTCTGTTATATATATATATATAAAAAATTATTAACTCTCACCTCAGGATCGCACAAAGTATGTGCAACGTGATAGCTGCAGTAAAATTAGATTTGGTCTCAGCGTTTAGTCAATTGAAAATTACATACAATTATTAGTGTCATAATTTATAACAACTAGCTAAATTAACTCGGGTGAGAATAATCTACAATTCTCGGTATTTCGTCGTAGATAGTCAGATTGTGTACGTCTCTGAGAATGGAGAGAAAATGGATGAATTTCTGAACCCTTGGTAAAGGATACAAGAAAAGTATTATTAATTTTGTTCCTTTATATTTAATCGCAGTTTTCCCTGAAAATATGTGAGTGTGCTTGAGTTAACGTCGCTTTGAATAATATTATTCTTTCATTTCTACCATGGCGTTTCTGCTTATTACAAGAGGACACTCACTGGGACGCAGACATTTACCACTTCCCCAAAACAACACAGCATAAGTATTGTGCTGACCGACCAATTATCATATTGGGTGAAGCCACCAAAGCAATGGTGATAAATGGTTATTTATCATAATATATAGAATAGAATAATTAATACACAAGATAATCAATCAATATTTACATATTGCAAACTTGGAATAGAACCTTTTAGGTAAAACAACCCACCTTAATTACCTTAAGGATCAATATGAAAAAGGACAACTTGATGATAATCTATTCTATACACAGCCTTGCAGCTATAATACAAGCAAAATCTTGAGAGATACAAATCTAATAACGACCAATTTGATGTTGATAGTAATGGACACAACTTGAAATAATATACTATCACCAAGTTTTTTTGTACATCAACACTTTCAACATTGAACAAATTCTTTGATACGTTATTCGAAAGATTCCGAATCAATACATCTTATAACTGAATGCGCATCTGAATGTTCCAGATAGGACATAAAAGCGACAAAACCCTTTCCCTAATCAAATGAAATCTCTGTTATAATCAGAGTCCATTGTAAGTGAGTGAGTGAGTGAGTTGGGTTTAACACCGCCTTTAACAGTACTCCAGGTAAATCGCGGCGTGTCAGCTTAATGTGGGAGGAAAGCCCGAAGTGATGCACGTTTCAGACGTTTACCACTTCGGTGAAACCTACGAGCACGGGTATGGTGCTGACAAACCTAGAAACATAATCGGGGCGAACCGGGATTCGAACCCACAGTCATAGATTTCTGGCGAGTCCAAGGGACGCAAGTCTGCACAGCGAATCGCGGCTCCTTGGACGACTGGGCCACCCGTGCCCCCAGAGTCCATTGTAAGATTCCGGCTATGTCAAAAGCATGTGTTCATGCATCGAGGCAAGAGAGTTAACTGACTTTAAAAGTCCAGTTTCCACCCTTGCCGAACTTGGCTGGAATTACTGGGCTCGATCGTAGCGCCACCAGTGGCTATTACGAGTTATGTCCTTTCTATGCCTCTCCTACTGAACAATCAGATTCAACCTCTCGTATCACTTGCATTTGCTTCAAACAAAACGGTGGCGCCCAGTCAAGAAGATCGGATTGATAATCAAGATCTATATTGTGATAAACGAGTCTTACATCGCGAAGTGCATCAAATCACGTGAGCACCTTGATTAAAAGCATGAAAAGATTTAGAAAATATCTGTTGACAACGAGTTAGCGGTGCACATGCTTTGCAAATCCTGCAGTCGACCGAAATCTGCATGACACTTTACGAACCGGATTTCGATTTCGGTGCGCGATTTTGATTGGACTATGCACAGACTCGTTAGTCCAGCCAAAATGTAACTCCATATTACCAGCCTAGTTCGGCAAGGGTGGAAACTGGACTTTTATAGTCAGTTAACTCACTTGCCTCGGGAAGATGGGGTTCATGAATCACCATATACTAGTAATGCTTCCAGATGTTCTCGAAAAGATGAGCGTATCCTGCACCAAAGATGGCACCCATCACAAATACATGCAAAGATAAGTCCATATGGTATAAGGAAAAATAGGAATTGCATTATACGTCATTTTTGTCGAGGATGTGCCAAATTTGGAAGTGTCCTTCACGGGTCTTCCATAAAATATTATGAAGGCTTTACTACGTCCTGGAGTGTTTTAAACCTGGTCAATCAATGTTGGAACAAATTCTCGTATGACACTCTTTGAACTCAAATAATAACATTAAAAACTACAACCTGTTTGTAGTTTAGGTTCATTGTGTACATTATGAAGCCCGGGGAGGCAATGAGGAAAGTTTTGTTCCTCTCACGATAAAGCCGTAGCACGTTATGAAATTAGATTCGCCTTTTATCTATCACAAAGCAGGTGAAACATGTCAACAGGTATCTGTTTCCAGATAAAGAAAAACGTAATGTGGTCTAACACCGATATACCAGACATTTAGAAGACAAATTGGAGTATATAACTTTTCTTGATATAAGATTTATTGCCTTGGCTTCTGATGTGACGCAGTTCTGTTTGCTATGGTAATGTGATGCCAAGATCTGTTATATCTTTTTTAAATCTTTTTACGTTTTATACTCCTTCTCATTATAAACCTGCAGAAACGTGACTTGTCACAAATGATGTATGTACTATATGCAGATGATAACACATGTAAGATTAGTGTTGTACAATCCTCTGCTTTTGCTAGTTTTCCAAATTGATGCAGTGATTTTGGCAGTTGCCGATATGGTCCGAGATGGCTGATTTACCGTGTGGTTTCACATAATCCCTTTCATGTCAGTAGACAGGAGTGACTGTCAGCCGAAAATATTTGTCAGTTCCAAATGGTCCATACCCACCACGTGGTGAAGATGCAGGTGGTAAGATACTAAATCCTTATGGCACACGTGTGTCGTACAAGGTTGACCTTGTTTTATTCGTTTTGATTGGATAACCGTGACCTCTGTCACACCGGGACTACTTTTTTCATTCATAAAAAATTGCGAGACGTCATTCATTTTGCAACTACAAGACAGAACTGAAACAATCTCATGAGAAAGAGAGATATTTACAAGCACTTTATTAAACCAAACAAGACAGTCACACGCATCAAATTCGGTTTGCATTCAATATAAGTTATGCATAGAGCTTCAACAGACATTATGTAATCGAGCTATATCCATTTACATTGTACATGATACGACTACCGATCAATAGATAGAGGGTCTCCATGAGCGTGACGCACCCATCCACTTTCACAACTTTCAATTTGATTTAACGTAAAAGGATAAGCGTGGTGATATGAAGTCAGTTTGCACTATCTGGACAGATATCTAGACTTGGGGTGATCCGGTTGTGCCATCAGTGTCCCCTTCGGGGCATATTTTGTGGCACTGTTTAGGAGTTGTTTGGTCCCGTTGTTTGTTCACGACTGCACAATCCGATCACCCAAAGTAAACATTTCCTATACAAATCATTCGAAAACTATTTAGAGGTGTGTCTGACTTCTGATTAAGTGGCCCAAAATATCCCAAATATGAACAATAACGCACATTCCCTATCTCTAGCGTAAAACGCTGTGAGCAGATCACGGTTGTCTTTTCTTATTCCGGTGGTGACCTTGCCCTTCGATCGTTCGAAGCTGTCACTGACATGCAAGCAGACTTGAGTTTCTTGATTTTCACGTCTTCAGTATAGGGTGGTACAGTTAACATGAATGTCTCTGATTTCCTTCTTCCAAAATGGTACGGACATGAAATAAATTCACCTGATAGATCAGAAAACCGAACCATTTTGATAGCACAGACGGGACCCCGGCAGTGGCTGAGTGCGAGTGACCGACTGTTGTTCCGATAACATAATCGGAGCGAACCGGGATGCAAACACACTGTCATAGGTTCCTGGATTGCCTAAGGGACACAACTCTGCATAGTGAAATGCAGCGCCTTAGGCGATTGGGCCAACCGTGTCCCTGTACACAACTATAAGAAACTATCATACAACAAAGATGTTTCAGATGAGATATGTACTGCGTGACATTCAATGAAGAAACACTGGCAGTATTACACTATCACAAACTTCAAAATATATGCAGAATAAGTGCAATTAAAACACACGCGTCCATTCAATATGCAAAGGAGGTACATTTTAACCCCAAAAAATTAAAGCAAGTGTATTACAATGATATGGAAACAATATGAGAATTGAGAAAAACTATGGTAATGTTGTACATACAAGGAATTTGTTTATAATTGTTGACGAGACCAGATCTTGGAAGTTGGTAAAATTATTAAGAACTGTTCCTTTTAACAGATTGAGGATTATTTTTGCTTCTCTTTCTTGGTTGTATTTTATACAAGACAATATTTTATACAGTACATAATGTTGTTCATCTTCTGAGACATCACATGTTTCACAGAGACGTTGTTCCAATGGGGTTGGACCTGTGACGATCCGAGGTAGAATAACAACCCATGCTGGCCGTAGAAGGCGACTTTGCTTGTCATAGGAGGCGACTAACGGGATTGGGCGGTCAGACTCGCTGACTTGGTTGATGCATGTCATCGTATCCCAATTGCGTGGACCGATGCTCATGATGTCAATCACTAGATTGTCTGGTCCAGACTCGATTATTTACAGACCACCGTGATGTAGCTGGAATATTGCTGAGTGCGGCGTTAAACAAAAACAAACAAAAAAACTATCAAATACCCTAAATCTGCAAGGTTTTGCGCCATGACATTACTTCAAGTGGCTAAAAATAACACCCTGTTGGAGACATTACCAAAGATTTTGCATGTGTTATTCTTGATGAGAAGGAAGCGGCATGATGAAACGATAACTCGGTGTCATGTCAAGTTTATTTCTCAAAATTCACCAGCGGTGGTACATGAGTTAACCGGCAGTGGTACATGAGTTAACCGGCAGTGGCACATGAGTTAACCGGCAGTGGTACATGAGTTAACCGGCAGTGGTACATGAGTTAACCGGCAGTGGTACATGAGTTAACCGGCAGTGGCACATGAGTTAACCGGCAGTGGCACATGAGTTAACCTGCAGTGGCACATGAGTTAACCGGCAGTGGTACATGAGTTAACCGGCAGTGGCACATGAGTTAACCGGCAGTGGCACATGAGTTAACCGGCAGTGGTACATGAGTTAACCTGCAGTGGTACATGAGTTAACCGGCAGTGGCACATGAGTTAACCGGCAGTGGTACATGAGTTAACCGGCAGTGGCACATGAGTTAACCGGCAGTGGTACATGAGTTAACCTGCAGTGGTACATGAGTTAACCGGCAGTCGAAAATATGCTGTTACAGGAGTCCACAGTTTCACATTTGTATATAATATATGTTGACATTTTTAAAATATTTCTTATTTGCTTTACAAATGTAGGATAATACTATTAATTGATATAGATTTGGCCATGAAATTAAAATATCCGCTGTTGGTGAAAAGCGTCACATCGAAATACTAGTAGATAGTGAAACTCGTCCCTAACAGCATGTGAGTTACATAAAATAGGTTAATAAATAGATTTTGACAGAAATAGATAGAACTACGCCAAACTTTGCAAATTTTGTGGATTATTGAAAACCGCCTGAAGGCCACACTCGTATAATATATGACAAATAATATACATCGTAACTTAACACAAGAAAATGAGCCATTTGAAATAATAGATTTGTACAATAAGTTTGATATTTAGAGCGTGTCATTATTTGTTGCATTTTAATGCCAAAATTGGTAAATTGTTCTTCATGAAGGTTCTCTTCCAAATTCGCATAAGTCATGAAATTTGAGTCAAAAATCAAAGTAAAGATGAAAGCTTTTAAATTTCAAACCCCTCAAATGCTGATAAAGTACAATCCACGGTTAAACGGATATTCCGTGCTTTCTTAAGTAATGAAAACATTGCTTTGATTGCAGTTTCTACTGACATTTTAATTGCTGATACAAATCTACCGTTTCTATGGAGTTTGATGCTTAGATAACGGTGTATGTAGAAACAGTTTCATTATTTGGCTCTCCTTGGCTTCCGTGTAAAATAGGCGCAAAGAAACGAGGATATGATATAAAATTACGAATAGTGCAGAATGGGTGAAGAAATCATGAGTGCGTCAGTATAACTTTTACATCATTCATAATAGCATTCATCATTCATTTGACTAAGCAAAATCGCTGTAGATATTTAGCAACAAGAAGAACATCATCAAGAATTACATCAGGCGCAATGATCAATGCAAAATGAATTATACCATTTTTCATAACGGCGGTTCGCGTAAGGCACAATGCAATAATGAATTATGACAGAAGCGTAATGTAATATTGGCACAGATCCCCTTCCATAATATACAAGTCTCTTGGGGTTCTTTTAGAAGATATCTATCAGTCTATTGTTTTCTGAAAAGCAGAACCTTGAAGTGTATGGAAAGGTTAAGATGTAAGGAGACGATTCACATTAATGTTAATCATTGTCAATGACTGATTAGTACCTACAGCTTATGAGAAAATAAAACCCTTTCCATAGTCACAAGAAATCCCCTGTGCTTAAAGTCGAGTCGATTGTACGATTCCGACTGTGTCATAAGAATGTGTTTATGAATCGCTATCAAACAGTGATGACACCAGGTGTTCGCGAAAGAGTGAGCGCACCCTGCCCCACTGGCGTCACCAGTCACAAATACATGCAAAGGCAAGTCAATTGCTCACCTGAAAAACAAAAACGTGGAACCATATGGTACAATAAAAATAGGGAAATTTCCGACACACATCCACCTTAAAACTCCATAAAAGATCAACTGAGGCATTGAATGCTGCAATAACCTGTCAGTAAGAGTCGTACGACGCTCTCCGAAATATTCGTAAAAAGAGCATGCTTGACTGCACCTCAAACCTGCTGGAACACTGCTCGATAAAAAAGGGAAAGAGGACTATTGGAATGTTGAAGTCATCCCTCTTCTAGTCCTGTGGAGAGTCTTTCGTCACTCTGAATCTTTATCCACAGATCCAAACGCGAAACAGGCGAGGCAGTCCCACCGATCTCCCTTATTTCTAGCTCCTGTGGGTAAATCAGTGGAAGAAAATTGCCTATTTGACCGTTATTGAACGATATCAGATCATGGATATACCTGAAGCCTGAAGATCTTCTCGGCAAAATTGCCTTGTTTTGACTTAGCAGAAATTCATAGGCATTAAGAAAAAGATGAGCACGAGGGGAGCACAATTGGTGCCCATGGGGATGCCTACTTCATGCCCAAATGTCTACACCCAAGTTTTAGATAGATGTTATCGGTGAGGAAGTCATTTCACATATTGTTTTTTTAGCAAAGTCTGCAAGTTCCGGACAAACACAAGCGTTTGCATTATATCAAGATGTTACATAAAAGTTGTTAATCCCTTCTCTTTATTATAGATTGAACTGACATCTTGTGGTTATAGGAAGTACGTAACAGTCCTGGGAACTGGGAACACCATTTATATACAAAACAAGTACAGTAAACTACGGTTATAACGAACACGCTTATAACGAACTGACGGATATAACGAACTTACTTTTTGGTCCCGACTACTTGCTGTAGTCATGCTGTATATGTACTTATAACGAACTACGGTTATAACGAACTAAAATTAGTAGTCCCTTTGAGTTCGTTATAACCGTAGTTTACTGTATCAGTATTCCATGGTATTCAGTTTTCAGGCCCTAAGACCCCTTTTTAAGCTGTGCATTCCCCTCCATGTCATCTGTGAACTCCACGTACGAGTCCCGTCTCATCACCTCCACTATATCCACAGGAAGATCCTTCACAGGAATGTCCTCCATGACTACAACATGCAAGGTGTTCCTTCCAGTGTAGATACTCTCCATCTTGGCCATCTCCATCTCGTATCTACACCAGTAGCTCTTCAGGAAGTTCCTGGTCAGGATCACCACAGTCTTTCTGCTGGAACTGATGGCTTTCAGGATGTTGGCCGCGATGGCTTCTCCTGGAAGAAAGTCTCTATGGTGGATGCACAGAATGAAATTGTCCTCCGGTCTCTCTTGCTCTTCAAGAATCTGCCTCATATCCGTTACAACAAAAGTACGATCTTCATCAGCATATGAGACAAAAGCATCAAACTCGAATTCTTGCTCTTTATTGTTAACCGAGAGATACCCCTGGTGCTTGTTCCAAATTGAATAGAAAGCATACCTCAGTTTCCATCTATAACGGTACATTAACCCAAATAACGCTAAAGCCAAGGCTAACACTACAACGCTGAGTAGTCCGATCGTTAAACCGACAAATGAAGCACATCTTTTCTCTAGGTTCAAAACAATGTCTCGTAGATTTGTCATATTCATTTCTCTATTGTCTATCGATGTGCATGTCAGATTGAACAGCTCTACTACCTTTGTCTCTTTTGATTCCATCCATTTCAGTGACAATAACGTTTGACAGTCACACTGTAAGGAGTTACCGTGAAGGAAGAGTTTCACTTTGAGGGGTGATAGTTTATCAAGTTGTGAGCGAAGAAACTTGGGAATATCCACAAAGGCGTTTCTTGAAAGATCTATTATCATCAAATTTGACATTCTGTAAATGTTGGCATCCCATGTTTTCAGGGAATTACTGCTTAGGTCTAAATATTGAAGAGACGTCAAATTCTTAAATATTTCACTTGGTAAATTGGCAATCTGATTATGAGACAGAATGAGATGTTTCAGATTATGAAATTGACTTAAACTGCTATTACCTAGTCCGAGACCCAAATTGTTATGACTAGCATTAAAAACAGAAATGGAACTGAGGTTCAGCAAGAAATCATTCGCAATATATTCACAATGGTTGTGAGAAAGATCAAAATATTCTAAGCTGTCTAGCCCTGAAAGTGGTCCCTCCCACCGTGTTAAAAAATTATTTGACAAATCTATTGTTTTCAAACTGTTTGGACCCAGTTCCAACTGAGGGATGGTAAAAGCCAATTTTGAAATGCTAAAATTAAGGAATGTCAAATTTGGGGGAATGTACAATTTTTTGTGACTTGACCTTGAGTCATGACCATGGTAATAAAAATTATCTTCGTCAGTGCCTCTATGTTCTAATGATGACATATACTGTTTCTTTGAATAGGCAATTCTCTTTACTCTTTCTAACCGCTGAGAAGCATCCCCAAACGTTTCAATATATGACGAGTGCTGCTGAGATATATCAGCCCATTCAATTGATAAAACTGACATTTCTAACAGGTAAATGCCAAAGAAAAACGTGTTGTGTTTCACTGACAGTATTCTAAGCGTCTTTGGCAAGTACGTTAGTAAGATATTATCAAAGAGTTCTATCCTGTTATCATCCAGATAAAGTTCTTCAAGGGATGTATTCTGAAGATACATCAAATCCTGATATCTCACAAAAACAGTTTGACCATGGTGCCAATGTAACTGGCATGCTTTGTACACCTTCAGTGATGAGTGTCGCAGGCCGTAGAGACCTTTGCCTGCATTCGTAAGTCCAAGAGCACTGTTTTTGGATATGTCAAGAGTATGAATGTTCTGGAGAGGACTAAACGCATCAGCCTCGATTTGTAAGACATAACAATTTGTCATGGATAAGAATGTTATATTGGGCAAATATTGAAATGTTTCATTTTGTATGTGTCTCATGTCACAGTTGCCTTCGAGAGAAAGAAGGGAGAGATGTTTCATGTTTCCAAATCCCTTTCCAAACATTGGGTTGAATAATCCATCAATGTGCAACGTCTGAAGAGAGATCAAGTCACTGAAAGTTTTGTCTGGATACGACAGGTTGGCTCCATGAATAGCAGAATTCTTGTGAACAAACAGCTGTTGGAGTTTCCTTTGTGCTCTAAAGAGATGTATAGGGTAAACATGTTCATCTAGGTTCAGACGATTACAATGGACATCCAAGATTTCCAAATGATACAATTTTGAAAAATCTGTGATTTGGAAACGAATCAATTTATTATTTGAAATATTCAAATGTCTCAGGTATTGATATAGATTCAAGCGGCCGTTGAGGGAATATATCTTGTTGCAGCCAAGGTCAAGGCTTCGTATCTCAGGGGGAAGATGCTTGGGAACTTTTCTCAGTTCAAGTCCTGAACAGTTGGCAATTAACTGCCCTTGAATTTCACCACACTTACATGGTGAGCATATGGGTGTAGCGTCAGAGGAGAGGCTGAGAACAAATGGTATTACACAGATGATGGATGCCACCTGAAAGAAAGTAAATGTACATTGTATCATTTTCATTCAAAACATAATACAAGTTTCTGGGTGGGAGGGTTGTTGGACATCAAAATGACAGTACGTTTTGATTTTCGACATGACATATTCAAGTCTAAAATATTGTAACAAAGAGTCATCAGGAGATGACATATCCCACCACCGGCCCCCCTTGATATTTACAACTAATAACTAGAACTGAGAGGGATGTATGTTTCCGTGAGGTAATGCGAAACAATCTCTTTGGTCATGATAATCCCTACCCCCAACCCCATCCCCAAACAGAAGAGTAAGGAAATGATTGATCTCAATGGTGTACTCACATGCAGTATGGCCATTGTGCGCCACGGAGTTCAAGTCACCTCGTTGTATCCCCTTCTGTATCAATGTGCAACACTATGGAGACGAAGTCATCTCCCTGAAACAATACAACCAACGTCCTTGTGTGTCAGTTCAGTTTCACACAAAGGAAATGGTTTCATTGGACATGGCCTTGTCCTGATTATGCTTTCAAACAATACATCCTTGCTAGGGTTGGGACTGGTAACTCGGGTACACGGGTCGGGTGGGTCATGAGTACACTCTTCGCGCACAGGTACATTTTTAGGAAATTTATTGTACCTAATTAAGTCGATATATTTTAATATCATAGATACAAATATGAAATGATAGTCAGATGTTGTCGTTGTACAAAGGCATTTCATTGTCATGTCACATAAGGCCACAAGGTGGCGCTGAACTCAGTATCTCGTGTGACCGCCTCGGGCAGCAATCACGGCTCTGCATCTCCTCGGCACTAACTGGATAAGTGTACGAATTCTGTCCTGCGGAATTATGCGCCATTCTGCTTGTAACGCGTTGGCCAGTAGTGGGAGTGTCTGCGTTGTGATCTGACGTTGCCGTACACGTTGATTGAGTTCATCCCAGAGTTGTTCGATTGGGTTGAGATCTGGAGATCTCGATGGCCAGGGCAAAACGTTGATGTTGGCGTTATGAAAGTAGTCTAGAGTGAAACGAGCTTTGATTCATGTTGCGATTTGCTGTCAAATTTCCCTGAACCACAACCAAGTCAGATCTCTTGGTGTAGGATATGGAGATCTCGATGGCCAGGGCAAAACGTTGATGTTGGCGTTATGAAGGTAGTCTACAGTGAGAAGAGCTTTGATTCATGTTGCGATTTGCTGTCAAATATCCCTGAACCACAACCAAGTCAGATCTCTTGGTGTAGGATATGGAGATCTCGATGGCCAGGGCAAAACGTTGATGTTGGCGTTATGAAGGTAGTCTACAGTGAGACGAGCTTTGATTCATGTTGCGATTTGCTGTCAAATTTCTCTGAACCACAACCAAGTCAGATCTCTTGGTGTAGGATATGTCCCACCCCCTCCCCCCAGAGCGAATAACGACACGCCAGTATTGAGTCCTATAAGGACATTATTCGATGTTTACAAATATACTCCTCAAAAAAGAAACTTGACATAGATGTAAACCACTTTTTGCCAAATCTAAAATATTTACATTATATGAGAACCAAATGAGTCAAACAGAAAGATGATGTGTCTATAATTCGCGAAAACACATGCAAAGCACATAAACGAAGCGTTTGGGGATCAATTTTACAGCTTCATCCAAACGCAACCGCCTGTAAAAACGTGCAGCACAGAATCCTGCATTTAGGCATGCAGGCCCCCCTGCTGAATGGGTATACAAATCCACATCAACGGCTGTTCATACAGTCCTTATAACGGCAGTAAAGGCGGTGACAGAATGCCAAGACCCAGGATGGATGCAGCTCAACGGACCAACGCCATTGGGAGATTACAAGCTGCAGCAACTCAGCAAGAAGTGGCCAGGCACTTTGGCGTATCCAGACAGACAATCTCCGCACTGTAGACCCGATACAACAACACCAACAGAGTTGACGACAGACCAAGGTCAGGAAGACCAAGGGCGACAACCTAATCTCAAGATCGATACATCCGGCTGCGACACCTCCGAGAACGCACTACCACAGCCACGTCTACAACCACACAGATCCCTGGGGTACGCAGGATATCAGATCAAACGGTACGCAACAGACTGAGGGAGGCTGGACGTTTTGCACGAAGACCTGTTCGACGTCATGTATTGACCCCACGTCATCTGGCGGACCGTCTGCTTTGGTGCCAACAGAGGGTTAGATGGGCACGTGCAAGGTGGAGAAATGTACTGTTTACTGACGAGTCCCGTTTCGTACTCACACGTGCTGATGGGCGCGCACGTGTCTAAAGACGTCGGGGTGAACGTTACGCCCCCAACTGTGTGCAGCTGGTTGTCCCATTTGGCGGCGGGAGTGTCATGGTATGGGCCGGAATTCATCACGGTGGTAGGAGGCCTCTCGTGCATGTGGCAGGTGCATTGACAGGTGTGCGTTACACAGACTTGATCCTTCAGCCTTACGATCTTCCTCACGTCAACGTTCATGGCGGACAGTTCCAGCCCGGACAACGCTCGACCGCATATTGCACGTGTTTGTCAGGACTTCTTATAGCACAACAACATCCAGACATTACCTTGGCCAGCCCGGTCACCAGATTTGTCCCCGATTGAGCATCTGTGGGACGAGTTGGATCGACGCGTTCGCAGAAGGAATCCACCGCCCCAAACACTTCCGGCGCTTCTTGATGCACTTCAGCATGAATGGCAGCACATCCAACAGCGTGTTATTGACAACTTGATTGCATCTATGGGTCGTCGGTGTCAAGCGGTGATTGATGTACGTGGTGGGCAAAACCGATACTGACATTTTCTGTACCCCTGTCTGTCTAGGTGACACGATTAATGTTTTGAACATTGTGTACATTGATCTTCAAAAAGTGTTTCAATTATGAAAAAAGAAAAAAGTTAAGCACACCCCTATTTCTGAACAATGACAAATGGCAAAAATCATGGCATGGGATGACTGACCACAGGAGCTGGGCGATACCAATGTCATCGGGTAGAACAAACATTTGACAACAAATAAAGATGATATTGGTGAGTTGTGATTGAAATTTACTGACAAAAAATCATGGTAACACAAGTACTGTTTTTGACCAAATCCAACCTGCAATCATGAGAGATACACTCCCAAATCATTACCGAGCCCCCGCCGTATGCAACAGTCAGTTTAATGTTCCTTGGGGTGTGACGTGGAGCAGAAAGCAACTTTCGTCTAACCAATGGATCCGTCTCCAAGTTCTCAGATTCCAGTTCTGTCGCGCAATACACCATGCTAAACGAGCAGCTTTGTGGTGATCTCTCAACAAGGGACGCTTTATGACTCGTCTAGCCCTCAGTCCTGCTGCTTTCAGCCGGTTCCTGGCGGTTCTGGTGCGACGATTGGGCAACCACAGCTACCAGTCGTCTGAGATGAGTACTTGTTAAAAAGGGTTCTCGGCGTATGAGACGAAGGTCCCTGTCTTCGCGATGTGTCATCACAGAAGGTCTACCGGATTTGGGATGGTCCTGTACATCACCGGTCTGAGCATGTTTCTCGACTAAACGGCTTACGACAGTGTGATGATACCCCAAATTCCGACCAATGGCATTACAAGACATTCCTGCGTTATGCATGCCGATTATTTGCCATCTTGTGGCGTTTGATAATCGCCTTCGTGCCATGGTCACACAATGTTGTGGAATAACTTTAAAACCGAGCTTAAGAAAGCAATTTTAACGTTTGGATATACTGCTTTTAGAGATATATATAATAATGAAATATATTAGGGTGTTCTTAACTTTATTCTTTCTGTATATGTCGCGTTGTCGCCCCATCAAAAATGTGCGAAAAAGGCGTTAAAATTTTGAAAATGACGCATTGTCGCTCTTTTCGAATAATGGTGCGCATGCGTAGTAAATAATTTAATTTACGCATGCGCCGAAATGGTCTTTTTGTTCGCTTCAGTGGTTCTAAAACAATGGCAATGTGGGTTGCTTTTCACAAACTTAAAACAAATCTGTCGTCGTTGCTTTAGTTCATATATCGTTATTGTGTTTGTCGGTTTTTATTAACCGAACGTCTTTTCACTGCTAGAAACAAGCGCTTTGCATTTCTATTTAACTTCATTCCGGTTTCCGACATCTTTTCAAATCGATTAGGACACACGGTTGGCTCTGTCGTTTCAGACGGCGCAAATTGCTGTATGTGAGAAAACTATGATTGTGGGTTTGAGTCCTAGCACAATACACATACACCACTTAGGGTTGGTTTGGTTGGTTTGTTGTTTAACGCCGCACTCAGCAATATTCCAGCTATATGACGGCGGTCTGTAAATAATCGAGTCTGGACCAGACAGTCCAGTGATTGATATCATAAGCATCGATCCACGCAATTGGGATCAATGACATGCATCAACCAAGTCAGCGAGCCTGACCACCCGATCCCGTTAGTCGCCTTTTACGGCAAGCATGGGTTACTGAAGACCTATTCTATCCCGGATTCTTCACGGGGCTCCAGATATGTCGCTTTGTCGTATTGTCGCCCCATCAAATGTGTAAAAAAGGCGTTAAAATGGGCGACAACGCCACAATGCGATATTTTGATAATATATACTTTCTGGTGATAGTTTGAGTGGATGAATGGCTCACTGACTGTGATTATCTATTGTTTTTATCATCGATATGCCTTATATACCAAAATATTATCAATAAAGAGAATATAATCAATGAAGCTTTACTTACCACATGAAAAGTCACTTAATAGAGTAACTCAGCAAGGGTTGCACAGCATATGAAACGGACGCGTGAACTTCGTTCGTACCCCGAACGGCGAGACGTGTGATTGAGAGAACGCCTGTTTTGTGCTAGACTGGTATGCATTCAATAGGCCGCGGCGCTTTCTGCGCGCTCACTCAGCGCTCTTCGCGGACGTATGGTGGCCGAGAGGGGACATCGCTTTCTCGCTTTCTCGCTCTATCGCTCCATCGCTTTCGCGTGTTTAAGCAATATTCCCTCTTGACCACTATAGGGGCCGCATGTGATATCTGCTGCAATTGGGAGGTAATGTTGAACTTTTCTCACTACTTACTTAAAACATAATTTAACTGTAGAGACGTAGGTGATTTTAAAACAATCCACCGATTTTTGCTTAATATGTAATTGATTTATTTATGGCCCTATTCAGTTGTATGTGACCATCACGCCGAAAGCGCGTGGCAGATCATGGCAATACGCTCTAAATAAATCAGGTTAAAATGCAAATATATGCAATATTAAGAAGACTATGGTTAATTAGTCATGGCTGATTGTTTTGCAAAAATTCAATCTTATGATTGTTGGTGTTCTATAGCTATCCTATAGAATCACAAAATGTATATAACACATTTCTTTTCTTTTTTTTAATTGTAAAGCAAAATCAGCCATTGAAGATACACCATCTGCATAGCGCAAAGCAAAATTATTTGGAAAGTCAGCTGATATAAAGATGCCTTCCCCACCATTCTCCTCCAGGTCAGATGTGAATTCATTAGAAAGATGCTAAATAATTTGGGACACATCCCTGACAAGTTCCCACGTCGCACTTAAGGTAACCCGGCTGTAGTTTTTACACATGCTGATAGATTAGAGTACATAGATACAAGTAATTTAATAAAGTTGCCTTTAAGACCTACCCTTCTCAAACTCTTCAATAAAGCTTCGTGATTGACTGTATCAAATGTTTTTTAGAAGTCAACGAAGATGCTGTAAAATCTACCCTTAGTTTTTGGAGGTATCTTTGTGTGGCTGCCTGTAACGTGAAAATGTGATCAATAGTTGAATATGCGGGTCTTAAAGCATCTTGGGATTCGTGTATAATATAAATATAAGATAGCTACGCGATAACTCGGAAAAAAACAATGAAGAACGAAGCGTCGTTTATTTCACGATGTTCCATCATGACGTCATTATTTCTGGAGATTCGAATATGCGCTCCCAACAATATATATATTAATTTGAAGAGTTTATTTAAGAATTGACTTTCACTTTGTGTGAGTTCATTGGAGTATGAACCTTCATAGAGTGAGTATGAACGTCGGAGCTTGCGGCTGAACGCGTGCTGAATTATTGTATAAAAAACATATGAGAAATCAAGTAGTGTTTTAGAGAATTATAAGAATTGACGATGTTACAAAGTTTGGCCCTCACTCAAAGAATGAACTTCTATAAATATGAACTTTCGTAAAAAGCCAATTCTGCACTATCGCGTCACAGGAGTTTCTTGTCCATATATAGCATGATAGTCGGGTTTGTTTACAGGCCGACGTCGCATGGTAGGAGTTCAATTATACTTACTTTTTTATGCAAATTGTGTGAATGGTGCTACTGGTAGGGCAGGACATGCTTACCCTTTTGGCGAATCCTTTTTGTCGTTACTGATTTTCAGTGGTCCCTTCATATACACAGCTATGGGGTCCATTACGCGGAAAGAAATCTGTTTCGGTGGATAATATAGACTGGTTATTGTCTTGCATTGACGTTATATATTAGATGAACCGTTTTGTATACTAGTATACAGATACCATTTCAACGTTCTCCAATACTATGCACTCTGACTTTAATACATTGTTAGACATCATGGTGAGTCTTCGTTTTGAGTTTCGATGTATTCAAGTCTAAAATATATACTGAACCGCAAAAGAAACGTCACCCAAAATAACTTTGCATGAAAAGTTGTCATTTAAAAAATCTGGGAATTTTTTGTCAAAGTTTGTAAAATTTAACATTACCTTGTCCGGGATCTGAATCTTGATGATAAAAAAACAAAGCAGATGACAATAAAACCGATCGCCCAAACGCATCACGGCAACGGCCATGGTAACCCGATGCACGTGAGTTCCGTGCAAATTGCATTCCACATGCGTCCCCCCATTTCTTGCCCTATAAAAATCCACCCAGATCGGATAACATTCATTCGTTATTGAATTGCTACCACATGCCAAGATTGACAAGAAATCAGCCACACCAAGCCCTTGGACGATTGCAAGCTGGACAAACCGCCCGGCAAGTAGCCAATGCATTTCAAGTGCACGTAAGGACCATACACAGACTCCAGCAACGTTACAAGACCACCAACGCTACAGATGACCGATCACGTAGTGGAAGGACAAGGGTCACTACCCGAAGTCAGGATCGTCTGATTGTGCGACAAGATCTTCAAGATCGCTTTGTTTCTGCTGCGGAAACTGCTCGACAGACCATGGGGGCTCACCAGCGACACATTAGTGTGGAAACCGTGCTTCGCCGATTGCGAGCAGACACCTCCACTGTCACAGGCCACATCGAGGACCCATTCTGACACCACGTCATCGCCGGGGCCGTCTTCTTTGGGCAACACAGCGACGCCGTGGGGAACGTTATTCGGAAGCTTGTGTTGTTGAGAAACACTCGTTGGATGGTCTGAGCATCATGGTGTGGGGTGGAATTGGTCTTGCACAGATGGTCGGCCCTGTGGTCTTCCAGAACATCGGTCCAAGGAGAGGCAATGGTGTCACAGCAGCTCGGTACATTGATAAAGTCTTGAGACCACACGCAATACCTCATTTGGCACGTCGCCGCAACCACGAGTTTCAGCATGATAACGCCCGTGCCCATACTGCGAGAGCAACAAGAGACTTCCTCCAGCAGAATGGCATCAGAACCATGCAGTGGCCTGCCCTCAGTCCCGATTTAAATCCCATTGAGCACCTGTGGCACGAGATTCAAAGACGGCTGAATGACGTCCGACCAAGGCCGACAACTGCAGCTGAACTGCGTCAGGCGTTCCTCAGCGTGTGGGCTCAAGTGCCTTCATCAACCGCCTCATCCATTCCATGTATCGACGTTGCACCGCAGTCATCAATGCACATGGCGGACACACGAGATACTGACTGGTGATGCCATTTTCCCAGAGACTTGTGTTGTGTTTCACTTTAACGACATATGACACTAATTTCAACCTTGATGATCAGTTTTGCCAAGTTTCATCTTTTTAATATGTCTCAAAGTATGATTACAGAGTTTTGACAAATAAGGTTTCTCATATATCTATCCATGGTGACGTTTCTTTTGCAGTTCAGAGTAGTAAGAATGTATAACCAAAGCGGAAACAGGAACCAAAACACTGTGGGGCCGCTTTTAGCAATATTCCAGCAATATCACGGCGGGAAACACCAGAAAAGGGCTTCACACATTGTACCTATATCGGGATTCGGCGTGACGAGCGAACGCTTTAACCACTCGACCGCCCCTTCGCTTCGTTAGATGATTTGAAATGTTACATTGAAATATCTTGGATGCCTTAAAGGCTTAAATCTTGTCCTCTATCTATTGGCAAACTTGGCAAAGAAAGGGCGTGTTCTCTTGGCTTTCTGTGCTTTTCACATGCATAAACGTCGCTTTATAAGTACAAATCTCGGACGCCACATTAAACCCCATTTCACCTCACCTCAGACACGTGAAGATCCGGGGTAGAATAGGTCTTCAGCAACCCATGCTTGCCGTAAAAGGCGACTATGCTTATCGTAAAAGGCGACTAACGGGACCGGGTGGTCAGGCGCGCTGACTTGGTTGATGCATGTCATCGATCCCAACTGCGTGGATTGATGCTCATGATATTAATCACTGGACTGTCTGGTCCAGACTCGATTATTTACAGACCGCCGTCATATAGCTGGAATATTACTGAGTGCAGCGTTAAACAGCCAACCAACCAACCAATCTGTGCATTTTGTTCCAATACAATGATCCCTTAAATGTCGTTCTTTATCCGTGTCTTCACCGTGACATGAACGTTTAGCGTTGTGAGGACGCCGTCCTTGCATGTCTCATAAGCTTAGCTTTTTGCAGCTTGGTTCCCTGGGTATGCTGCGCTGGCGCTACACTGACTGAGCTTTTTTTGTTCCCGTATACCCAAATAATATACGTTGTTCCGTCCACTGAAAGCTTCAAGCCTATCGACACTCAACAGCAATAATGTCGCGGTCTGGAGATGAGACATCGTTACTGGCCCTGGGTTTTATTCCACATCGTTAGCCATCATGAGTTCTAACCTCACCACAGATTCTGGTGTTTGGCATACAACCGCAAAGAAAACCATCTGGATGTAAAAGACTAACATTACACGACTACTTAATTGATTTGTAGTGCTGACGTCACCATTGTAAACACAAGCCGCTTTATCTGGTATGTACTCGCAAACGAAGTCATCTCATAATGCTGAATAACAGTCCTTAGCTGGAATTATGGGGTTATGGGGGGGGGGGGGGGGGGGGGTGGGATCAGGCTTGCTGATTTGGTCGATGTAAACTGCGTATTCCATATCCATAGACTGATGCTCAAGATGTCAATCACTGAATTGGCTGGTCCAGACTTTATTATCACACACGACATGCTGCATTGCATCTCACCTGCACACACACATGACATGCTGCATTGCATCTCACCTGCACACACACGACATGCTGCATTGCATCTCACCTGCACACACACGACATGCTGCATTGCATCTCACCTGCACACACACGACATGCTGCATTGCATCTCACCTGCACACACACACAACATGCTGCATTGCATCTCACCTGCACACACACGACATGCTGCATTGCATCTCACCTGTACACACACGACATGCTGCATTGCATCTCACCTGCACACACACGACATGCTGCATTGCATCTCACCTGCACACACACAACATCCTGCATTGCATCTCACCTGCACACACACATGACATGCTGCATTGCATCTCACCTGCACACACACGACATGCTGCATTGCATCTCACCTGCACACACACAACATGCTGCATTGCATCTCACCTGCACACACACGACATGCTGCATTGCATCTCACCTGTACACACACAACATGCTGCATTGCATCTCACCTGTACACACACGACATGCTGCATTGCATCTCACCTGCACACACACGACATGCTGCATTGCATCTCACCTGTACACACACAACATGCTGCATTGCATCTCACCTGCACACACACGACATGCTGCATTGCATCTCACCTGCACACACACGACATGCTGCATTGCATCTCACCTGCACACACACAACATGCTGCATTGCATCTCACCTGCACACACACGACATGCTGCATTGCATCTCACCTGCACACACATGACATGCTGCATTGCCTCTCACCTGCACACACACAACATGCTGCATTGCATCTCACCTGCACACACACGACATGCTGCATTGCATC